GTGCATCTTGCTGTCAGGTGGATCCCTAAATATTTTACCTTCTTTACAATCTGTATATCTAATTTTCCCATCAGTTCTTTTTTTTGTTTTTCAGTAATATTTTTCACTAACATTTTGGTTTTATCTTTATTAATCTTCAACCCCGCTACCTCACCATATTTTTCTATTTGTTCTATTAATACAGGTCCTGTCTCTAATGGTTCCTCCAAGATAAATACTAAATTGTCTGCGAATGCTTGTAGCTTATATTCTTCCCTCTTAATTTTCATCCCTTTTATGCCATTATTCTGTCTTATACATCTGTTTAACACTTCTAATGTCAAGACAAACAATAGTGGAGATAGGGGACATCCCTGTCTTGTTCCCTTCATAATATTAATCTTCTCAGTCATATCTCCATTTATCATTACTTTGGCTGATTGCTTATTATAAATTGTTTTGATTACGTTTATAAATTTCTCCCCAAAATCCATAGTCTGTAATTGGCTTATCATGAATTGCCAGTTCACATTGTCAAATGCCTTCTGTGCGTCCAGGAACATTAATGCCATCTGTTTCTCGGGGTGTGTTTCATAGTATTCTAATGTGTTCAATACAATTTGCATATTGTCTCTAATCTGTCTTTTGGGTAAAAAACCATTTTGATCCGATTGTATAAATTCATTTAAAAACTTTTTAAGTCTTTCCGCCATTATTGATGCAAATATTTTGTACTCCACATTCAGTAGGGAAATCGGCCTGTAGTTCTTTGTTTTCTGGGTTTCCATTTCTTCCGTTGGTATCAGGGTAATAAGTGCTTCGGACCACGAATCTGGTATCTTAGCTTCAAAAAGAAGTTCATTATAAAGTTCCAACATTACACTGCCTAGTGCTTCCTGCAATGTCTTGTATAGCTCTGCTGGTAATCCATCTGGTCCTGGTGTTTTACCATTTTTTTTGTCTGTTGATTGCTTCTGTTAATTCCATCACTGTTATTTCCCCTTCTAATAACTTTTTTAATTTCTCCGGTATTTTAGGTATCTCTGTTTCTTCCAAGAATTGTTTTATCCTATCATCTGGAACTATTTGTTGCTTATATAAGTTCTCATAATATTCCCAAATTATTTTTTTCTTTTCTTCATTCCGATGTTGTAAAATCCCCTCAGCATCTTCCAATTGTTTAATCCATCTTTTCTCTTTCTTCTTTTTAATTTTATATGTCAACCATCTCCCTGGTTTGTTTGCATGCTCAAAAAAGGTTTGCTTAGGTGCCTTTATTTTCATTGCCACTTCTTCATTTTCTATTAAGTTCATTTTATGTTTGTTCAGCTCCATTAAATGTTTAATTTTTTTTGTTTTGTGTATCTTTCTGTAATTCTTTCTCAATTCCCCACCCCACCTCCACTGCCAATCCTCAACAGAAATGCTCACAACAATGAAAACCTCGGACAGGAGGAAGAGCGCCGCCGGGTGGGCAGGCGTCTTGCTCGGCTGTGGCGTGGGGGGCACTTTTTTCAGTGCCATTGTAACTTCGAACAGTCACTAAGCGAACTGTTGTAAGTCGAGGACTACCTGTACTTTATCACTTTTTCCTTTTTTTTTTTTTTTTTGGTCATCAAATTTTTGACACCTTGCTAGGTGACTGGTGGTACTCGGATGTTGCCGTTTCCTAACAGTGGTACAATGGGTGAAAAGGTTGACAAGCCCTGGTCTAGAGAAGGGAGCCAGGCTGCATCATCAGGAGTCTGCTGGCTGATTCCTCCCCACCCATTTCTCACCAAGGCTAACCTGTTTCATGCTGGGTTCCCTCGTTGTGTTGGAGCTCAGGACCTTGGGGAGGTAGACCCGGTGGCCCCCCGTACATGGGGTTCAGCTCGGTTTCGTAGGGGCTGAAAGAGCCCGGGCCCGGGCCCATAGAGGAGGGCGCCGGAGGGAGGTAAGGAACAGCGCCGGCAGTCTCCTGTTGGGAAGGTGGGCCGTCCAGGATGGTAGGAGGAGCTAGAGAAAGGATTGGAAAAGAATGGCGTTTGCATCCCATAAGCAATGACCCTGACCATTCCTTTATGAGCAGAAGGGGTCTGGAAGGCAGCCGGTGAACTGGCACAGCCATTGCTGGCCTCAGGGCAGCCGGCATCCTTGGCTCACACGGCCGGTTGCTTGGCCACAGTCCAAGAGGGACGCTTCCCGAGAAATGGACAGTGGCTACACAGCTGCCCAGCTTCCCACAAGGCGGCCTGGAGTTTGGTTCTCCGGGTTTTTTCCTCCCGCAAGTCATGCACACACCTGAAGGCAGCAGCTGGACACCCTGCCTGGGCTGGACCGCGTTGGGCAGCAGGGAGGTCAGCTGCGGGTGGTTGAAGCTGACTTCTAGGCCGCCCCCCAGGCCTTCGGTCTGACTGGCGTGGTCCGGCTCCGAGCTGGGCGTGCTGGAGGAATACTGCTGGGGGGTGAAGCGCCCGACGCTGTACCTGAAGCAGCCCTCCTGGAACGAGAGGGATGCCGACGGGCCCTTTCAGCTCAGACCAGGGATTCAGTGCCACCGCCCAGCCCAAGGCACGACCCCCCCGTTAGTGCAAGGTGTTTGGGAATTAAAGTAGGGGATTTGTAGCAGATTTCCACCTAGGTCAGGGGTAGGCAACTTTGGCTCTTTTATGACTCATGGACTTCAACACCCAGAATTCCTCAGCCAGCTGGCTCAGGAATTCTGGGAGTTGAAGTCCATGAGTCATAAAAGAGCCAAGGTTGCCTACCCCTGACCTAGGGGGATAGTCTAGCTCAGAGGTCCCCAACCTTTGGGGCACCAGGGACCGGTTCCGTGGAGAGAGGTTTTTCCACAGACAGGAGGGTGCGTGGTTTTGTACCTACATCCCGCAGATGGAGCTTTGCTTGTTTGTGCAGACCGGTTGCTGGCGTGCCACGGCCCGGTACCGGTCCACGGCCCGGGGATTGGGGACCCCTGGTCTATCTGGCCTAATCTCTTTATTCCTAGGGGTCTCTTTCTCTTGGTTCCTCCCTCACACCCCTCGCCTTCTTAGCTATTCTATCCTGGTTCTGGCTCTCTTGACCCAGGAGGGGGGGAGGGGCATTTTATGGTCAAGGCACCTGCTGAACGGTCCAAAATGCAATCGGCCTCCGGGGAGACCTTGCCTTCTGCCTGGACTCTCCCACTGGCGAATCAATACAAGTAGTCCTCAACTTACGACTACAATTGAGCCCCAACTTTCTGTTGTTAAGTGAGACATTTGAGTTTTGCTCTATTTTACGACCTTCCTTGCCTCAGTTGTTAAGTGAATCACTGCAGTTGGTAAGTTCGTAACCCGGTTGTTAAGTGAATCTGGCTTTCCCCCAGGTCGCAAAAGGGGATCACGTGGCCTTGGGACACAGCGACCGTCATAAATGCGAGTCAGCTGCCCAGCATCTGAATTTTGACCACGTGACCACGGGGGAGGCTGCAAAGGTCGTAAGTGTGAAAAATGGTCATAAGCCACTTTTTCCAGTGCCGTTGTAACTTTGAACGGTCACTAAATGAACTGTTGTAAATTGAGGACTATCTGTAATGATCTTGTCTGTCAATAATCTGTGGGATTATTGACGTAACTTCTGTTATTGTTATTTTTATTGATCCGACCATGGCCAACATTTTACAGTTGTGGAGAAAACATGTCCATCAGTAAGTAAACCTTTTTTCTCGATGTTTCCAAAATGTTTTAAAAAAAACCTCGGTGGCATCTCTACGCCAGACATCTCCAACCTTTCCGGGCTCGCAGACCGGAGGAAAGGAGAGCAGTTTCCAAATTGATGCACGCATGCGCCTGCACACAAACGCAGCCACGCGTACTGGTGTGGCACTAGCAACTCTGTTCGTGCATGTGGCATGTGCTGGCGCCGTGTGCATGCGCGAACGTCCGCACAACCTGCCCGGCGCTAGCAGCCAGTTGGCATATGTGCAAACGGGATGCGTACACGTGCCTGGGACTAGCGTCCCCATTTGTGCCCGCATGGCTGTGCCAACAGGGCTGCCGGTGCTAGCGCGGGTGGGGGAAATGCGTACCCATGCATGCACACACTGGCCAGCCATTTCCACACCCCACTGGCCAAGAGCCACGGCCCATACGTTGGGGTCCCCTGCTCTACGCCTCAGAGTTAGTCCTGAGCAAAGCCGGGCCAGTCTGTGTCCACCTGCCACAAACCTCCAAAAGGATGTTGAACTCACCTTAATCTGCCCATCTAAGTGTCGGAGCTGAATTAGCCAGCTGGGCTCAATAAATAATTCCTGCTCGGGCTTCTCCTTCAACTGAGGGTCAAAAAGCCGCAATTGGGAAGAAATCTGCAAAATGAAGGATGGGAAATCAAGTCACATTGAGCCATTTCTCAGGACTGCTCAGATTATCCAGAAAACGAGGAACAGCAGCAGCTGCCTGCCTCCAGGGGCCAAGGCAGTCCGACTCTCCCGGAATGGGGTCTGGGGTCCTAGGAATTGCGATCCCACCTATCTGGAGGGCTCAAAGTTAGCGAAGGCTGGGCAAAGGGATCACGCACAGGAAAAGGTGATGGGTTCTGAAACACCAGCCGAGCCCCGGGGTCCCAGGAAAGGGCAGGGATCCCAGGTGCCCCCCCTCCCGCCACTGAAGGCTTAAGGAGTGCACCGACCTGGATCACCTGGCTGATGAGAACCGGTGACGAGCAGCCGGGGTTTGTGAGGATGGCTTTGGAAATCACTTCGCAGTAGTGAAAGGCTTGTGCGATGAGTCCCATCTCGGCCAGCCGGCAGGCGTAGATGAACTTGAAAACCTGAAAAGGCGAGATTTTGAGCCTCCGATTCGCACAGACCCGAGGACGTGGTCAGAACAAAGGCTAACTTCGCTCCCCTTTAATTGGGAGTAATTCCAGGTAGTCTTTGAGTGACCGTGGCACGGAACATGTGTGACTTATGACCGTTTTTCAGTTACGACCTTTGCAGCAGACCCACGATCACGGGATCAAAGTTCAGATGCTGGGCAACTGGTTCCTAGTTATGGACCGTCGCTGTGTCCCAGGGTCCCGTGATCGACTTTTGTGGGTTACTAACTTTAACTGCCGTGATTCACGTAACAACCGTGGCGAGAAAGGCCGTAAAATAGGGTAACACTCACTTCACAAATGTCTCGCTTAACGGCAGAAAAAAATTTGGGCTCCGTTGTGGTCGTAAGTCGAGGGACTAGCTGTACTACATTTACTCCCATGTGACACATTTAATAATTTTCCTCTTCTGCCACCCTAAGAATTAAAGGTTGTGCAAAAAACGACGGGGCAGCCAGGGCTCTACGCCAGAGGTTTTCTGGGGGGGGGGGCAGAAGTGGTCTGAGGGCTCCAAGCCGGGGGGGGGTCCCCGGTTTGAGGGCAAACTATAAGGTGCCAAGCAGTTTCTAAGCAGGGCTCACAGTCCAGCGCAAAGTCCCCAAGCCAACTGCGCTTTGCCCATGGTCCTGATGCTGCGGAGGCCTCACTGGGACTTCCTGGGTCTGCAAATGAGAAATCTGCAGCTCCGTCCGGAATCTTCTGAGTGCCGCCACCGCTGCTGCTCCCGCTTTGCTCCCTGCGTTGCCATCAGGAGCAGCAGAAGCGCCCTTGAGCTACGCACGCCGCAGCCTGCCCAGCCCCAACAGGCGGGAGAAGGCAGGGCGGCGCCCGATCAGCAGCCTCCGATCCCGGCACCGGGCTAGAAGCAGCCTAGGAAGCCCCCCCCCCCCCAAGTTGACCACCAACCCCAAGACGTCCAGGGATTCCTGGGAAAGGGCGACCGGCTGCTGGCCCAGCGACTTTAATGTAAAGAGAGATGCAAACCTGGAAGTTGGGCAGAGGGCAGGGCTGAGTCCCCAGGGACTGCGCGTACTCGTAGGCCTCGGTCCGCTGAATCGCCTCGTTGCTGGCAAACCTCAGGAAAGGCAGGCTAGGAGCAGAGAAAGAGAACGGCACCCTTCTTCACCGGGCCAAGACAGCTTCTGAAACAGCACTGTGGGCCTGGCTCCAGGAGGTGGGGCTAGCTTTGCCCCTCAAAGGGGGCATAAAGCCAAGGCCTGGGGTGGGGGAGCAAACAACCCTCCCTCAGGAGTTCACAAGAGGCGCCAGGATCTTTTGCGGGAATTCCCAACTAAAACATGGAACTACGCCCTGCTGAACGGTACCCTCTTTTACATGCCAATCGACAGAGCTGCTTTTGGGGCAAAAGCCTCTCTACACACAGCTGCACCCTCCGCCTCTCCGCCACACAAACAAGGCTGCTGTCAGAATCCAATTATATTTCATTTCTATCTACCTACTCTGATAAAAAACCAATTCTTACTCTCTTCTGGATTCTGTCAAACTACGGAAGGGGAGGAGGTTAAGCATGGGGGTTTTATGACTCCCACTTCCTTCATTAACTACAAAGTGACCGGCTGGTTGTTTATTCTCTTGAGAGGACCAACCATAACAATGCGGCCATCGCCTTTCATCCTACTCCCTCTGAAGTTCTCCCCTTTATCGGCAGTGAGAGAAAAGGGGGGAGGGAATGCAATGCCTGGGATCTGGGAAAAGAGAGGATGAGTGATCCTACCGACGGAGTGGACTAACGGATTGAATCGCCCGGAAGAACTGTGGGGTGGGGGCTGCTTGGGAACACTTTAAAACATTGAATGGTGGGAGAGGATCCCCCAGATCCTGTCTAGCATGCCTGCAATCAGTTTCTCCTAATAAAGATTCCTGTTGGAAGAGACATTCCAAGAGTTCTGTCTTCTTAAGATGTAAGATTGAGGCAGTTACAGTTGCCTGAGCTGCAAACAGAACTGCAGGGGGAACGTGGAAGGGCAGCGACGCATGGAGAAGGTGGCAAGCAAGAGCCTGGGCCTGGAGAAACAGAGTCCCGGCTTTGTAGTGGAAGAGGCGGGAAAAACGCAGGCAGCAGCTCAATCCCCAGGCAGAAAACTGGAAGGATCCTCCACACACACACACACACACACACACACACACACCTGTGGTTTGCACCGATCAACACCAGCTTTGTGGTCTTCTTAGTGTAGACGCCAAAGTCCTCTTGGGCCATCAGGTAGCAGAAGTGAGCAGCGTCCAAGAGGCCTTTGGAAGCTGCAATCAAAGACAAACAAGGTATCAAGCAGATCCCACCGGCAGCATCCCTGAATCCACTCCAGGGATTTACAGCCTCAAAGGCTCGATTCAGGTAGGACCACCGAGACCAGGAGGATGATCCGGAATTGATCTTCCCACTACACGGCAAAGTAGCCATCCTGGCTCAAGCATCTTTCAGCTGGACAGGCTGAGATTTGATCGTCTCCCAGAAATGCAGCCGGATTTTTTCTTACTATTTAGCGTCAGCTTCCTTACTAAAAAAAAAAAAAAAGGTCATTCCAGGTTCGCACCCGGATTGTATGTTGGTTTTCCTTCGCGCAGGGGTAGGTAGGCAACCTCGGCTCTTTTATGACTCGTGGGCTTCAACTCCCAGAATTCCTGCATTAGATGGTAACAGGGCAGCATTTGCAAAATGGCCAATAATGGGTTTGGCTTTTCATATGTATCCCATGAGCCCCCAAAGGGTAGGAACGCCTGCTCTGTGTTAAGTATTAAAACGAAAAATGGTCATATGCAACCAATTTTGGTCACCATACTAAAAAAAGATGTTGAGACTTTGGAAAAAGTGCAGAGAAGAGCAACTAAAATGATCAAAGGCCCGGAGAGTAAAACATACGAAGAACGGCTGCAGGACTTGGGCTTGGCTAGTCTAAAGAAAAGAAGAAATAGGGGAGACAGGATAGCAGTATTCCAGTATCTGAGGGGCTGCCACAAGACAGAGGGGGTCACGTTGTTCTCCAAAGCACCAGAGGGCAGGAGAAGAAACAATGGTTGGAAACTGATCAAAGAGAGAAGCAACCTGGAATTAAGGAGAAACTTCCTGACAGGGAGGACAATGAACCAGTGGAACAGCTTGCCTCTAGAAATCGTGGGCGCTCCATCACTGGAGATTTTTAAGGAGGCTAGACCTTCCCCTGACTGAGACGGTATAGGTTCTCCTGCTTGAGCGGGGGGCTGGACTAGAAGACCTCCAAGGTCCCTTCCAGCTCTACTCTATTCTATATTACATTTTTCAGTGCTGTTGTTAACTTTGAACTGTTGTAAGTCAACAGTTACTTACAACTGTTGTAAGTCAACTGTTGTAAGTCAAGGACTACCTGTATAAAAAAATCAGGGGTCACCTTGGGATGTTTATCACCTGGGGGCAACCTGCACCATCACTGCCAAGCACAGCCTTCCCCCCCCCACCAGAATTATCTCCAGGCCTGGCTCTGCCCTCCTGCTTGAAGCTCTCGGAGGAGCAGGCAGCCGACGGACCCTGAAAACCCCAACCCTCTGCCTTTGAACACATTTTTTTAATGTCCCATTTTAACTTCCCCTGCCCCTATTTTAAATTTTTATATTCAGTTCTGATGTCTCAAGTTTTATTTGTGCAAAGCCCAAAATGCCTCCGTGGGGGCGATGAGTGATTGCTAAACAGGGTAAGTAAGGAAATTAGTAAATAAAGCTGTTCACTTGCTGGAATTCCCGTCATTAACCCTTGCAAAAGAGGTCCCACTGGTCACTTAGCAAGTTCAGCTCCTGACTACCCTCCTCCCCTCCACTGCCAGATTCACTGCCCCCCCCCTCCACGCCCTTTCCTTGCAGGATTACCCAGCGTGTCCCCCATGGTGACGATCGTCCTTGACTCGACGTCCATGTTATTAGTCAAGTTGGACAGGACCATAGCCAGGTGAGGCCTCCAGTCTCCCCACTTCTCATCTCCACAACACTAAAGAAAGAGGGGAGAGGCCGATGCTGTGAGCCACGAAAGACGGAGCAAATTTACAAAGCCCCCGGAGCGCATCGAGGTGGCGCAGAGTGGGGACACCAAAACTGCGCATCCCAGCCAGGGTGAGCACAGAGGAGCCGAAGAGGTTTATACAGAAGTTACATGTCTCCACATATTGAGGCCATCAGTCCCAGCATGGAAGGTGCAATCCCAGCACTGGGAGGGCATCGAGAGAGCTCCCGCTGGGCACTTACTGTCGAGGCTGCTGGCATCCTGCCAGACATCAGCTGGTAGACGGTCTGCAGTGGGTCGTTTATTGGGAGGCTGTTGGCGAATCTAAAAAGAAGAGAGCGCTATTATTCAATCTATTTGCAGCTTGTTGGCCTGTCTTCTACGTGTCAAGGGCCAAATAGCTAACTGGAAAAACAATTAAGTGAAACAAAACAAAATTAGAGTTTTAAAGCTCTCTGTTAACAGGCTGTTTATTGTAATCCACTCGCAGAAAATTTAACCAGGGCCTCTCATCTATCCCAAAGCATCCCGAAAGTTATAAACAAATCACCCTGGGTTTGTTTCTTAATGTTGTCTCTAGTCGATTGTTGTTGAATTAAATGTAGTAAATTCAGTCTTAGTAGTTTAAAATTTTTTGGGAGGGCTTGTTTCGCAAGAGGTGGGAACTAATGCAGTAATATATTAATCAGTATCCAACTAGAGGGGATAATTTGTGTATCATGTCCTTTTTTTTGATGCACTTGTTTTTTATTTTCTGGGTTCTTTTTTCTTTTTTGGATTTTTTTTTCAGTTCTGTATTTTGTATTTTAACTTTGTTTTGAATAAAATAAAAACAGGTTTAAAAAAAGAGCAAAGAGTACAAAGGTCAGCAATCAACACTCCTTGGAGAAAACACTCCTTGGAGAAAAACTGCCTTGGTTTCCCTTTGGGGAGACCCTGCAAGAGCTTCAGAACACCCCAAAACACTGGTGGCAAACCTTTTAGAGACCAAGTGCCCAAAACCCATCCCCGGCTTGCCCCGCCACACCCGCAGGGCCACCCACCGCCTCCACAGATTGCCCAGGCGGCCCAGCCCCATGGCAGCAAGGCCCTCCACCTGCGTCCAACAGCACCAACTGTGCGCGACGGAGCGCGAGGGCGGAGTTTTTGTCCCCGCTGGCCAGCTGCCATGTCCTTGGCTGTGCTGCTCCGTGCGGTCTACGCCCGGGGATGACTCTCCTCCAAGGGGGCTGCTGGTGAAGAGGGGGCCACGGGGGGAGGCGGGGCTGGGGCGACAGCGCGTGTGCCCACAGATAGGGCTCTGAGTGCCGCCTCTGGCCCGCGTGCCATAGGTCCGCCACCACTGCCCCAAAGCCAGCCCAGAGGTTGTTGCACTGGCCTCCTGACCGGATCAGACCCAAAGACCTTCTGTATGTCGGTCCCGACTGAGATCAGAGGCACAAAGGGGGACCTCCTACCTGGTCATCACTCTGGCATGTGTCCTGCTGTCCATTTTACTGGCAAGCAACAACGCATGGCCCCAAAGCCCGTGTTTCATGGCAGATTCCAGAGCATCCTATCGGAAAAGCATTCAGGATGTTAACATTTTTTTTTAAAAGAACATTTTTTTGTTTTGTTTTGTTTTTCAGACCTCCTCCTTTTTTCAGCGAGAGCCAACATGCAGCGAGGAAGGAGGCCAGGCGAGAAGCACCTTTTTGCGTCCGTAAAGCAGGAGCTCTCGGAAGCGCTCCGTCTCCTTCTCCAGGCTGTCGATGGTGGCGAGGAGGCTGTCCGTCAGGAAGGACAGCTGGGCTTCTCCGCTCTCTTCAGCCACCTGCTCTACGGCCTCACTGGTGAAGTCGATCAGGTTGGCCTCGTTGGGCGACTTCCCAGGCAGCCACACCGTCTTATGATCCTGGAGCAGCAGCTCGGCTATATCCGTGCCCACCACTGTCTACAAATAAAAAGGGATGCTCTTAAAACAGGCGAGTTCTGGGAGTTGAAAGTCCACACACCCTGAAGGGGCTTCAGGTTGGGAAACCATCCTAGATGGACTGGCAGTGGGGGGGGGAGGATGGGTGGGAGGGGGCAGAAACTCTAGGGAGGGTCTGCTTTTGCCCATCAAACCCGCTGGGGTGCAAAGCCAGGAGATGGCGACTTATCGTTATGGCTTCCTGCCGCAGTCATCCAGCGGGAGATTAATTTCAGGGTGGAAAGCCCAGCCTACTTCAAAATTAATGCTGTCCCGAGAAGTGGAAAGAGAGGGCAACGGATCTGTGAATGTATCACTCACAAATAAAGGGGTGGGGGGTTAACATGCTGGATTTCCAGTTGTTGTGCTGAAATCAGCCACCCGGTAAAGAGGTCCGGGACATTTTAGCCCCAACCAGGACCTCAGTTACGCCCCACAGAACTGAGAAGAGAGACAGAGCTGCAGAAAACCCATTTTGTGCAAAGTGCCTGAAGCTACGGAAACTCTGGGGCAGAAGACAAGGGTGACTCAAAGTATTTTGGTAACACAATAATGAAACCAAAGGAATCTTCTCCAAACTTCTGAAAAGCTTGGCAAGGTTCCAAAACACCTGAGTGGGACTCATCCTGAAAACGCCCCGATAAATTGTGCCCCTCCCCCCTATCATGCAAGCTACCTCTGATAAGCAACATGCTACCAATCAGAGCAGGATTGCTTTGTTGAAAATAGAAGATGAACTATACTTTATACTTTGACGACGTCAGCAGTCACTGACGAAAGCTAAGTGTTTAATAAAGTTTTTAGTCTCGGTGATCACTTTTTAATAGTTTTTTCTTTATCACGAACATACCCAGGACTCGCATTTTTAAAATAATTTAAGATGAACGATGAATATCAGATCTGCTGAAGGATCTACTTCAAAATCCATCTTGTCTAGTCCAGTTAGATGCCTGAGACAAAAATTTGCCCAATCTTTTTCTACTCCAAACCTCCTCATTTTCGTTATTAACAAGGAATGAATTGACGCAGACTGGCTGCAGAAAAGAGTTCTTGACCGTGAGCCTTTTATTTCAATTGTTATGCAATTAAATATTCAGAAAATCACCCAGAAGGCTGTTATAAGCCAACATTCAGGCGTTTGTCAAGGCAGAACTGAGCAAGCCAGGCTCAGCGTGAATTAAATAAATATGGATCGACTCACATCGTATCGACTTAAATATTATTCTCCCATTTTCCTTACTGCCAAATTAAAGGCACTAACACTGGTGGCAGTTTGGAGAGATGCTTACGGGGGCCAGGAGGGGGGTCCCCAGGGCCAGCTGCTGCTCAGCTCCTCCCATCGCCAGTTTGGATCTGCCAAGCTCTGAGATAAGCGGCGTGAAGGTCTGAAAGTTGGAACTGGAGTAGCGGTCTACGCAAGGCCCGGGAAGGGAGAAGGTAGCCCAGAGCACCTACCCCATTTTGCCTGCACAGGAGGACGACAAAGTCCCAGAGAAGCCGAGCAGATTCCTTGTCAATCAGGGCGTCGTTCTGAGAGCAGCGGGTGGCCTTATTCTGGGCAAAATTAATAACGTCCACTTTGTGGGTGTCGTCTCTGCAAGAGGAAAAGAAAGCGACGCTTCAGATGCCAGTGGTGGCGAACCTATGGCACGCGTGCCAGAGGCGGCACTCGGAGCCCTCTCTGTGGGCACACGCGCCATTGCCCCAACCCCGCCTCCCCCGCAGCCCCCTCCTCACCAGCAGCCCTCCCGGTGGAGAGTCTTCCCCAGGCACGGCCGTGCGGAACAGCGCAGCCAAGGACATGGCAGCTGGGCAGCAGGGACAAGATTCCGCCCTTGCGCCCCGTCGTGTGCAGATGCTGCTGCGGGGTGAGGGCATAGGGCGTGGCTGCCATGGCACTGCAAGGCCACCTGGACGATCTGCTGCAGCGGGCCATGGAGGTGGTGAGGGGCCCTGCAGGTGGCGGGCTGGGGGGGGCGGGACGGATTTTGGGCACTCGGTCTCTAAAAGGTTCGCCATCACTGGTTTAGACCACAAGACGTTGCGCCCCAGGAGTGGAAGGGCGCTCAGTCTGCAAGCTTGCAAATTCTTGCGTCCGGTGGCTTGTCTTGGAAACCCAGCCCCTCCGGTTTTCAAACCAGATGCACAACTATTGCCGGGTGAATGGAAGCAATTCGTGGTTTTGTTACGTCTGAATCCAGCCAATAAATGCGTCTGATTTATGCTACTTGGTCTGATGCTGCTCACGCTGCTGCCTATCTTTCATTAGGGCCGTGGTGGCGAACCTTTTAGAGACCGAGTGCCCAAACTGCAACCCAAAACCCACTTATGTATCGTCGGGTGCCGGGTGGGCGTGGCCCATTGGGTGGGCATGGCTATGGTGGTCACGACAGACTGGGTGGCCGGGGCCGGGGTGGGCATGGCCACCTCGATGTTGCTTCCTGTTTCCTTGCACGTGATGGTGGCGGCGGATTGCGAAGGAGAAACGGCACGGGGCTGGGTGGGAGTCAGGTGAGGAAAGAAAGGCAATTTCTGGGGGGGAGCGAGGATTTCTTTCCTTACCTGCCCCACTTGTTCCGAGGCCGCTTTCCACTCAGACGCGTTGCTCTTGCCGATGGCCTGACCGCCCACTTCAGCGCCCTCCCTCCCCGAGCCTCCAGCGCTCCACCTGCTGCTTTGCTCGGCCTGCCAGCCCCCACCTCAACACCCTGCCCACTGCTGCCCAGCACAGCCGCCCTGGGGCTGCAGGGGCTGGCCTGGCATGGGAAGGGCACGTGCCCCACCCTCCCGCCACCATGCAGGGTAAGGCTGCCATGCCCGCCCCCGCCCAGATGCCCTTGCCTCCCCCAAGCGGTTTTTTTTTTACTAACCTACCTTTCAGCTGCATTCTGTTTCTCCGTTCGCTTCTCAGCCTTCGCCGTGTGTTTGTGGGACTATGGGCAACAAAAAAAGTTCCATCAGACTTTCTAACTGCTTGAGATCTCACGAGAAGTTAGAAAGTCTGATGGAACTTTTTTTTTTTTAACCCATAGTCCCACAAATACGCGAAGGCTGAGAAGCGAACGGAGAAACGGATTGCGGCTGAATGGTAGGTTAGTAAAAAAAAACGCTTGGGGAGGTGGGGGTGGGCACGGCAACCTTATCCTGCACGGGTATTGCTCATGGACGGAACTGAAGGCCTAGGACTGGGGCGACGGCGCGCGCGCCCACAGAGAGGGCTCTGCGTGCCACCTGTGGCACGCGTGCCATAGGTTTGCCACCACGGCATTAGGGCCTTCTTCCTGTGGCCCAACACACACTCCTCTTTGCAGTTTCTGTGTGCAAAACATTTGGCTGCCCTTAGGAAACACGTGGGAGGGCCCAAAGCCTTCACATCTTCACTTTCAGTACTGCTATTCACAACCGTTGCAATACTGTAAGGACAACTGTGTAGAGAAGGGAAGGCAAGGCTCCAAGGATAAAATCAGTTTGGACCGTCAGCAACAAAGCCTGCCCCAAGACTGTCCTGTCTTTGGACGTCATCGAGAGTCACAGTGGTCGCCTGGGAACCGCGCCAGAACAAAACGCATCAAACCCGAATCCTTAAAGCCTCAAGGACTTACTTGGTGAGAGGACCGGGAAAAGCTCTCATCTCTTCTTGCTCTGAAGAGTGTTGCATGACCATCTGTGAAGAGACAAGAATCACAGATACAACATTGGACAGCAACTCTTTCCTGGGAGAGATGCCCTCTTGAAGATGAGTGCTGCGGATCTCACCTTCGTGACCCACAGAGCGATATGGGTCACCCTACGCTTAATGTTTAAAGGGAAAGGGGCAAGTGACTTGAGAACGTTCTGTGGAGAGCTGAGAAGGTGACCTTGATGAAGACAGACAGCAAGCATTGCCTAGGCCAGGGATGGCGAACCTTTGAGAGACCGAGTGCCCAAACTGCAACCCAAAGCCCACTTATTGATCGCTGGGTGCCAGGTGGGTGTGGCCCACTGGGGGGCGTGGCTGTGGTGCTCATGGGAGACTGGGTGGGTGTGGGCAAGGTGGCCGTGATCACCTCGATGTTGCTGGTGGGGAGGGACACCTGTGGGGGCCGGGCAAGGTTGGGGGAAATCCAGGGGGTCTCTGGCAGGTGGGGTGGTGAGCAGGAGGCTCGTCCTGCGGGGTGAGGCGAGGCAAGGCGGGGGTGCCATTGCCGCAGGGCAAGGCGGAGCAGGGGCCAGGGCGGCTTCTGCCTGACACCATCGGCCACCGCTCACAAAGGCCAGTGGGCACATGGGGCCCAACAGTGTCCGTCAGCAGCCACAGCCTGCCAGCCCCTCGACCGGTGCACTCTGGGGTTCCGCAGCCCACTGCCAGCAGTTCAGAGAAGCCGCTTCTGAGCTGGATGGCCAGCCGACAGCTGAGGAGGTGATGCAGTGGGTTGTGCCCAGGAAAAGGAGAGCATGCGAGGACAGGAGGGACAGGACGGGGGGGGGGGAGGGAATGGGTTAGGGATGCATCCGGCCACGTGGGACCTCGACGAGTTAGCGGGCAGCTGGTTGAAGAGGGACAGTTGCCATCTCCGGAGCATGGCGTGCGTGCCCACAGTGCCGCCTCTGGCACGCGTGCCATAGGTTCGCGACCACTGGCCTAGGCAAAAAAGCCTAGGACTTAAGTTTCTTAAGTCTAGAGAATAACAAAAACACTTAGACTTATATACCACCCCCATGATGCTTTACCACACTCTCTGGGCAGTTTACACAGTCGGCATATTGCCCCCAAGAATCTGGGTCATTTTACCGACTTCGGAAGGATGGAAGGCTGAGTCCACCCTGAGTCCATCTGGGTCAAACTCCAGACTGTGGGCAGAGTCAGCCTGCAATCCTGCGTCCTAACCACTGCCCCACCACGGTGAGAAAGGAGGTGTAATGTTCGGAAGAAGCTCAGGCAGACATCTCCCTGGTTCAGTGAAGTGTAAAAGTGTTGGAATATTCATGAGCAGGAAGAGTCATGTAAAGAGTTTATTTGAATCAGCTAAATGCAGTCAACTGTGAGAGCTTCTGATTTATTTTTACCAACAAATTAAAATTCTCTAACAGGTTATGGGCCCAGAGCTTACTAAGGACTGCATTGTAATTTAAAGCTGGAAGAAATTGCCTGTGTTTAGAAGTATAAGAACAAGGCAGAATTAGCAGAATGGCTGCAATGGAATTTAAGGAAAGCTCTGTGCCTCGTTTAGGGCAAAAGAATTACATTATCTGGGCAGCAAAAATGGAATGTTTGC